CCTCCTTCCTTCTCCATGTTCATTTCTTTCTTTCTTTCTTTGTCTCTCGCTCCCTCATTTTTCCTCTCTTTCTTTCTGTGCGTCTGTGTGTGTGTGAGCAGGATAAATGTGTTTATTTTTGTGTTTATATCTGTTTTTCCCTCATTTGAACTCCCAAAGGGTGAGGAGACGTGGGGTGGGGGGTGGCGGGGGGCAACCCTATCTCTCTCTCTCTCTCGCTCTCTCTCTCTGTCTTAAGGATGCGACTTCTTAATCACTGCCCCGCTCCTGGTTTTACCCCCAGTTTCTCTCTCGGCCTTTGTTTTCCTGCAGCAGCTGCACTTTTAGAAAAATAAATAGCATTTTGTCTGTGTTTATTTTATTTTTCTGTTTTTTTGTTTTTTTTTTTTCTCTCTGAGCAAAGCGTCCACAGCAGATGCCGAGACTTGTAGCGCTTCCTCGCAACAGTGTTTTAAAATATAAATATTCTTCCAAGTATTAATGAATGATCGTCGTTAATAATCAGACGCTGCCTCTCAGTCAGGAGTCCATTGACAAAGTCAGTGATTTTACATCAGTGACTCAGTGGTTTTTATCCAGCGTTAACTCCGTTTTTTTTTTCTATCATGTGTCATATTTTATGATGTCTATGTTTTAAATACAAACCGACCAATCAGACCAGGATGTTTTTTCTATTGGTCTGCTGTGTCACAGTCTTCTGTTTTCGTACGAAAATATTTATAAAACAATTTCCAGTTCAATGCCCAGTATTGGGCTGCGACCCGCCTTTTGGGAAACCCAGTCTTAAACTGACGCTCCATGTAATCCTCATGTTTTCCAGATGGCGATGACGATCCAGCCGGCCTGTCCTGGGTTCCTTCCTCACCCTCCAGTAAGGACGTGGCGTCCCCCTCACAGATGCCCGACGGCTGCTGTGACCTCGGCATGGCCACGGGCGGCGAGGAGGAAGGAGGCGCAGGTCTGCCTTACCCCTGCCAGTTCTGTGACAAGTCCTTCAGGTATCAAACCCTCAGGAATGAAAGGTTTGAACACCAAAATGTTCAACTTTGAAATCCACAAACACGAGGCGTCAGAAACGTCTCTGGCGTCGGGGTTCCGGTCCGGGTTTGGAACTTCATTTTCAGATGAGACTCAGGAAGGAGGTCCAGTTTCCATTCAGAACCTGCAGCTAGCAGCAGATTTGAACCCGACACACACACACACACACTCACAGCAGGTTACAGGCGGAGCAGAATTCACCTGTATTTTTCAATGAAAAGAAATGGCTGGAGCCTGTGCTGCGTCCCCACCATGAATATCAACAAGAACATGAATAGGATACACTCTCATTATTACCATGGTAACACCAGCCGCTACGGCAAACAGTAAGAGAAACAGGGTGAATACATTTCTCACCGGCGTCTTCGGGGACGAACTCCAGACCCACTTTAAGAACAGCTGTCACGTTTGTCATGCAACCATTTTTTTTCCACCGTTTCCTCAATTATTCCGACCGCAGCCGCCGCGTCTGCGGTTTAATTTGTGATCGTGAAAAACGCAGTAGAAATAACAGAGCGGCACATCGCCGACAGGAGGGAACGATGAAAGTCAATGATCATTTCAATAATTGATTTGGATCAGGAATGTGCTGTAGTACCTCTGATTGAACACCGTCATCTGTGTTTACCCCCTCCTCCACCCCCTCCTCCCCCCGTAGTCGTCTGAGTTACCTGAAGCGTCACGAGCAAATCCACAGCGACAAGCTGCCGTTCAAGTGCACCTTCTGCAGCCGCCTGTTCAAACACAAGAGGAGCAGAGACCGACACGTCAAACTGCACACAGGTTGGTGCCACACAAGACATAGATATTTCTACATCGTTCTGTCCTGAAATGGTTTAAAAAAAAACAACAAAAATCAACAATAATTTTAATGTTTGTTGACTGTTGGGGGAAGACTTGCTAGTCTCCAATCACTCTTAATGCCTCTGTGCCTGCTTTAACAGGAATGAGCTGCTCTTATAGTCAGATATCCTCAACCCAACACTCAACTTGATGTGGGGGAAAAAAAAGACAATTCTTAATGAATAAACTTTTTTTTTTTTATAAACTAATGCCTCTGTGCCTGCTCAAAAGAAATGAGCTGCTCTTATACTCGGATATTCTGAACCCAACACCCAACTTGATGTGGGAAAAATGAAAATTATTATTGGCCAACACCCAACTTGATAAAAATTATTATTGAAAGACGAAAAATAGTTGTTTTTGTTTCATCTACATTAATGCCTCTGTGCCTGCTTAAAAGAAATTAGCTGCTCATATAGTCAGATATCCTGAACCCAACACTACCCAAAAATATTCTTAATGAATGAACATTTATGTTTTTGTTTGGTTTCATCTACATTAATGCCTCTGTGTCTGCCAAGGACTGAATATGTTGATTCCATGGTAACTTTTTCTTGTCGGTTTGTTGTGTGTGTCGCAGGAGACAAAAAGTACAGCTGTCAGGAGTGTGAGGCTGCGTTCTCTCGCTCCGACCACCTGAAGATCCACCTGAAGACCCACAGGTCTGCGCCCCTCAGATTGTTCTCCATTAGAACTTCACTGTTTGGCCTCAAACGTGGGCGACTGATCTGTGCCTGTCTTGAATGTCTGTCTGTAGCTCCAGCAAACCCTTCAAGTGCAGTGTGTGTAAACGCGGCTTCTCCTCCACCTCCTCACTCCAGAGTCACATGCAGGTAAACAGAAGGTGGAGAACCTCCAGCTCCAGCCCTGGACGGAACCCCTTTAACCCTTCGGTCTCTCACCGTTTCAGGCTCACCGTAAAAACCGAGAACACCTCGCACTGAGGAGCGAGAGGGACGGAGGCAAGAAAGGAGGAGCGGGAGGAGACGCTGACCTGGAGCAGGACCTGTATATGTGCGACTACTGCGAGGAGACGTTCAGCCAGACAGACGAGCTGGAGAAACACGTCCTGACCAGACACCCGCAGCTGTCGGACCGCGCCGATCTGCAGTGCATCCACTGTCCTGAGATCTTCCTGGACGAGGCCTCTCTGCTCACGCACATCGAGACGCAGCACGCCAACCGGAAACACAAGTACTGACGCTCCCCGTTCTCAGCCGGCAGAACTGGAACCGATTGTGTGTCTGTGTGTGTGTGTTGTTGTTGATCTGTCTCCTCCCGTTTTTCTCCGCAGATGTCCCGTCTGCTCCGAACAGTTCCCCTCGGTGGAGGACGTCTACTGTCACCTGGACAGCCACCGTCAGGCCGACTCGTCCAATCACAGCGCGGCCAGCCCCGACCCGGCGTTGGGCAGCGTGGCGTCCATGAGCTCGGCCACACCGGATTCCAGCGCCAGCCTGGAGAGAGGCTCCACGCCCGACTCCACGCTAAAACCCAGCCAGGGCGGCGAGCGGGGCAGGAGGAGAGGCACGGACGGCGGGGAGGAGCTCGCCATCGGCCTGAGTCATCACGGTGGAGGTAGAGGAGATCAGTGGGAGGAGTTGTTTGTTTTCTGATGAATTGTTTTGTAAAGTTGCGGTTTTGCGCCCCCAGGTGGAGGCGGTCACTGGAGTAAGGTCACGTACTCCTGCCCCTACTGCTCCAAGAGAGACTTCCACAGCCTGGCGGTGCTGGAGATCCATCTGAAGACCATCCACGCCGACAAACCTCAGCAGAGCCACACCTGTCAGCTCTGCCTGGAGACGCTGCCCACGCTCTACAACCTCAACGAACACGTGCGAAAGGCCCACCGCGCCAGCGGGGGCAGCGTGGGCACGACGGCGGCGGCTGCGGCGGCCACGGCGGCTTTCCCTCTGCTGCAGTTCACCAACGTGACGGCGTTTCACTGCAACTACTGTCCAGACATGTTTGGAGACATCAACTCGCTGCAGGAGCACATCAGAGTGTCCCACTGTCTGCCCGGGGGCATCGTGGCTGGATCCACAACGTTAGGTCAGTTTGGTGGACGCTGGTTCAGTTACTTTAAGGTCAGCCTTCATGACCTCCGTCGTAGAACCACCAACATCTACCGTCCTCTAACAACGTTAGAAATTAAGTATGAAACAGCTGTAGGAATCATTATCATTTTTTTATCCGATAATGAAAACCCGATCACGCAATGCCTGGGTTTCGCCAAATGATGTGACTTAAAAATAGCTTTGGGGAAAAACGTCTGTATATGAAAGTGAAGGTCACTAGATGGCAGCATTGCGGCTCATTTTATTAATGGCAGAAATTTTTTTTAGAGTTTTTAGCCCCACCTGGTGGACTTGAAATTTCTGGGTCTCGCTGGGTTTTTTTTTGAAACCTGAACAAATCTTAAAACTGAACTCAGGTCTAGTCCTGAAAACACCAGGAGGCGACAGAGAGCAGTGGATTTTTCTAGAACAATTATCGTGGTAGGAAAATTCTTCATTCTTCATTGACCGTTTGACTTTTCTCGTCCATCCAGAGGGAAACCACGCCTTCTTCTGCAACCAGTGCTCCATGGGATTTCTGACAGAATCCTCGTTGACTGAACACATCCAGCAGACGCACTGCACCTCCGCCTCGGGGGGCGGAGCCGCCACTGGAGGCGCTGTGACTAAACTGGAGTCTCCGGTGCTGCAGGCTGCCTCTCAGTCCTTCATGGAGGTGTGTGTGTAGAATTAGTCACAAATTACACAACACACACACACAACACACACACACAGATGAGTATATTATAGCTGCGTCGAGGACAGTAGGTCAGTGTGGTGGACGGTGAAACCAGGGTCAGAGGTCAGTTATTTAAAAGTCAGCCTTTATAAACTACCATAGTAGTTAAATAGTATAGTATCAACTATATAACATAATATATAATATAATATATTATATTATATATTATAATATAATTAATTAATATAATAATATATATATTATTATATTAATTAATTATATTATAATATATAATATAATATATAACATAGTATCAACTCAGTCGATAATTTGACTGATTTGATTTTTTTTTTTTTGGTGCAACATTGGAGGATATTTCTCCAGTGTGTGGTCTGACGTCGGAGGTCCCTGACCTTTGGTAAACCAAGGACTGGTCATTTGGTACCGTCCGTTAATGTGGACCAGTTGTTAAATTATTATTAAGGATCATCACATTTTCAAAATAAAATATTGTTTAGACTTCTGTTACACACACACACACAGACACAGAGCTGCTGCTGCTGCTGCTGTTGCTGTTCCTCCAGATCTGTGTTTCACTCTGGTCATGACTGGAGTTTAATCACAGTTTATTATGTTTTGAAATATATTTTTCTGTAAATGTCAAAAAGACAGCGGCTGTCTGGTACAAACTGATTTATTAAAGTTTGTTTTGTTTGTTCTGTATCAGCTCTCAGTGTTTGGGGGATTGACATTCCTCACCTGTGCTCGTCTGACTGACTTTCTTTAGTCGTGTTTTGTTTCAAATTTCAATAACTCTCCTGTCTGTCCGTCTACGTGACATCACGTCAAACACGTTCACACCGATCCCTGTCTTTGCCCCAGGTTTACTCCTGCCCCTACTGCACCAACTCCCCCATCTTCGGCTCCCTCCTCAAGCTCACCAAGCACATCAAGGAGAACCACAAGAACATCCCGTTGGCCAACAACAAGCGTCAGGCCAAGGTGGCGGACCTGAGCCCCGCCTCCTCCGACGTGGAGATCTCCTCCCCGAAACGCCACAGACTGGGCGGCGACTCCACCCCCTCCTTGGGCAGCAACGGCGACTACCCCTGCAACCAGTGCGACCTGCGCTTCTCCAGCTTCGAGGGTTTCCAGGTCCACCTCAAGTCCCACCTGGAGATGCTGCTGCGGCGTCAGTCCTGCCCGCAGTGCAACAAGGAAGACTTTGAATCCCAGGAGGCGCTGCTTCAACACCTGACGGTGCACTACACCACCACGTCCACGCAGTACGTCTGCGAGAGCTGCGATAAACAGTTCTCCTCGGTGGACGACCTGCAGAAACACCTGCTGGACATGCACACGTTTGTCCTGTACCACTGCACGCTCTGCCAGGAGGTCTTTGACTCCAAGGTCTCCATCCAGGTGAGTCACAGAAACAACATCAACTGCACTTGTCTTTTATCTGCTTGACCACCAGAGGGTCCGCGGTGGTCCGGGTCATGGCGTCCTCAGGAGTGAAGATGTTTCACCTCTCATCTGTCAGAAACATCAGTTCCCCCTGAGGCTAAAAAAAAAAACTGTTTTAAGTTGTGTGATCAAACTCTGGTTTATGTCCAGTGAGGCTGTACAGTAGGAGTGAACCTGGAGGTCAGCAGAGGTCACTCCGATCTCTGCCTGACCTCAGGTTCACCTCCAGCTGAGCTGAACATGTGGACGTGGTTCATCCTCAGGTTCATCTGGCAGTGAAACACAGCAACGAGAAGAAGCTGTTCCGCTGCACGGCCTGTGCCTGGGACTTCAGGAAGGAGACGGACCTCCAGCTCCACGTCAAGCACAACCACCTGGGGCAAAGGGCAGGTCTCCCTGGGGGACTGGGAGCAGGTATAGATGATTATATTTGTATTTTTTATTTTTATTTTTAGATTAAAGTAAATCTTTGCTTAAAATATATACAAAAAAAAAACATTAATTTGATCGTGTGGAGACATTTTGTTTATATTTTAAATGGTATATGTTCAACCTAATGATTAGACAAAAAAATATATAAATGATCTCATGTTATTAGATGCTTCACATGACGACAGAAATAGCTGGAAAATAGTCTGAATAATATTTTAAGTATATTTGAATATGTTTAAATATATTTTACATTTAAAATAGATGTTTTATAAATACACTTTCTCTTGTGATAGTTATATATATGTTTGTATTTGTATTTTCTATTTATTTATTTTTAGATTAAAGTAAATCTTTGCTTAAAATATATTTAAAAAAAAACATTAACGTGATCGTGTGGAGACATTTTGTTTATATTTTCATATGTTTCCAACCTGATGTTATTAGATGCATCACATGACGACAGAAATAGCTGGAAAATAGTCTGAATAATATTTTAAGTATATTTGAATATGTTTAAATATATTTTACATTTAAAATAGATGTTTTATAAATACACTTTCTCTTGTGATAGTTATATATATGTTTGAATTTGTATTTTCTATTTATTTATTTTTAGATTAAAGTAAATCTTTGCTTAAAATATATTTAAAAAAAAACATTAACGTGATCGTGTGGAGACATTTTGTTTATATTTTCATATGTTTCCAACCTGATGTTATTAGATGCATCACATGACGACAGAAATAGCTGGAAAATAGTCTGAATAATATTTTAAGTATATTTTAATATATATTTGAATATATATTTGAATATATTTAAATGTATTTTAAATATTTTACATTTAAACAGATGTTTTATAAATACACTTTCTCTATGTGATTGTCAGTTATATATAAAAATATGTTTATATATTTATATATATGTTTATGTATATATTTATATATGTGTATATATATATATATATATTTTTTTTTTTTTTTTTCTTCACCATCACTTGACCTTTTGCCCTCTCAGGTCTGAAGCCCAGGAAGTGCATCTTTTGCGGGGAGACGTTTGGAACAGAAGTGGAACTCCAGTGTCACATCACCACACACAGTAAAAAGTTCACCTGTCGCTTCTGTGGCAAGGCCTTCCACGCCATCTCACTGTTAGAGCGCCACCTGAGGGAGAAGCACTGCATCTTCGACGGAGGCAGCATTACAGGCAACGGCGGCGGCGGAGGAGGAGGAACGGGGAGCAGCGGCAGCCAGAACGGGACGCCCAACGGCCTGGCCCAGTCGTCCAAGCGCGGAGGGGTCGGCAGCGGTAACGGAGCGGGAGGCGTGGAGCGGGTGACGGTGACGGTGGCCGCTGCGGAACAGGCCGACCTGCAGAACATGGTGCTGAAGGCCGGAGTTGTGGGTGGAGGCTCGGGCCAGGGCGGAGACGCGGTCAACAGCCACGAGGCCAGCGGGGGCGAGGAGGAGCTGGACAACTCCGAGCCCATGTACGCCTGCGACATCTGCGGCGCGGCCTACACCATGGAGTCACTGCTGCAGAACCACCGGCTGAGAGATCACAACATCCGACCGGGAGAGGATGACGCAGGTACCGGTGTGGGCCGAGGGTCACCAGGTCAGGGTTGATGACTCGGTGACAGGTTTGAATTAACTAGTACTGTTTTGGACCAGGTTCCCGAAAGAAGAAGGCCGACTTCATCAAAGGGAACCACAAGTGCAACGTTTGTTCCAGGACGTTCTTCTCAGAGAGCGGGCTTCGTGAGCACGCTCAGACGCACCGAGGACCGGCCAAACACTACATGTGTCCCATATGTGGGGAACGGTTCCCATCTTTGTTAACCCTCACTGAGCACAAGGTAGGATTCTGTTCTTTGAAACTTCCTCTGCTTTCATGGCTTTTATCAGGGAGGTCCGATATTTACTTTTTGCCGATATCGTCCAAACACTTAATTTCCGATATCAACCAATACCGATATAGGCCTGGTGGTTAAGGAAGTTAAGTGCAGCCTCTTCACTAAGGTGATTTAATTAAAGCAGTGTTTCTGAATTATTTTCTGCCTTCATTAAGGTGATTTAGTTAAAGCAGTGTTTCTGAATTATTTTGCTGCCATTAATAAAATGAGCCGCAATGCTGCCATCTAGTGACCTTCACTTTCATAAACAGCCGTTTTTCCCCAAAGCAAATTTTATCATTTTGCGAAACCCAGGCATTGCATTATCGGGTTTTCATTATCGGAGAAAAAGACAATTCTTACAGATGTTACATAATTATGCTGATATCGTCCAAACACTTAGTTTACGATATCAACTGATACCGATATAGGCCTGGTGGTTAAAGAAGTTAAGTGCAGCCTGTTCACTAAGGCGATGGGTTAAAGCAGTGTTTCTCAATTATTTTCTGCCATTAATAAAATGAGCCGCAATGCTGCCATCTAGTGACCTTCACTTTCATATACAGCCGTTTTTCCCCAAAGCTATTTTCAGGTCACATCATTTGGCGAAACCCAGGCATTGCGTTATCGGGTTTTCATTATCGGAGAAAAAAGACAGTTCTTACAGATGTTACATAATTATGCTGATATCGGACTAATAAAGGTTTTTAGTCAACGTTGTCTTTGAGTCCTGTCCACCTCTGGTCTCCAGGTGACCCACAGTAAAAGCCTGGACACAGGGACCTGTCGGATCTGTAAGATGCCCCTGCAGAGTGAGGAGGAGTTCATAGAGCACTGCCAGATGCACCCCGACCTCAGGAACTCCCTCACGGGCTTCCGTTGTGTGGTCTGCATGCAGACCGTCACCTCCACCCTGGAGCTGAAGATCCACGGCACCTTCCACATGCAGAAGCTCTCCAGCGGTTCCGCGCTGGGAGGAGTCGCGGGCGGGAACGGAGGATTGGCGGCGACGGCGCCGGGCGGTGGGGTGGGCTCGGCGTCCTCGTCCCCCAACGGACAGCTGCAGCAGCACAAGCTGTACAAGTGTGCCTTCTGTCTGAAGGAGTTCAAGAACAAAGGAGAGCTGGTGAAGCTGGACGTCAACGGGCTGCCGTACGGGCTGTGTGCCGGCTGCATGAACAGGTATGGGTCTGGTCCACGTCGGCTGTGGCCTACATTGTTTTTTTTTTTTGCTGGTTTTTACCTGGCCCAGTTGGCCAGTTGTGGCCCATATTTGTGGAGAAAAAACTAAACCGATCAAATTTGTTTTTTCATCCAATCAGGGGCACCAACGGCCAGAGTCCCAACCAGGGGGGCGCGGCCACACCCGGGGACGGGCCGGGAGAGAAGGTCCTGACCGGGCTGCGTTGTCCAGAGTGTGGGGTGAAGTTTGAAACCGTGGAGGACCTGGAGAGTCACGTCCAGACGGATCATCCAGAGGTCAGCCCCGAGACCAGCGCGGCGGGAAAGAAGGCCGAGAACCCACTGGCCCCCAAGGTGTATATTACGAAGAACGACGGAGATCTTCACACACACACAGGTTAGAATAAGACTTGAATGTGTGTGTGGGGGAGTGTGGAGGGCGGGGGGGGGGGGGAGGCACACCCCTGTGGGTGTGTGGGGGTGGGTGTGACCCCACTGCGTTGTGCGACTGGGCCGTGCTGAGGCATTGTGGGAGCTGTTCGCTCTACTTGATATTGACAGTCAGACTCCCCGGGACTGAGAGTGTGTATGTGTGTGTGTGTGTGTGTGTGTCAGAGACAGCTCCCTGAGACTCTCTCTCTCTCTCTCTCTCTCTCTCTCTCTCTCTCTCTGTCTTACCTGCACCTTTGTTTCTGCTCAGTCTAACAGCACAAAGAAGACAAAGTAGACTCTCTCTCTCTCTGTCTGTGTCTATGTCTCTCGCCCCCTCCCCTCGTCTCGCTCTGAGGCAGGAGTGTGAATGTGAAAGTAGAACCTCTGTGTATTTTGTATGTGTTTGTGCATCAGTGATCACTGTGTGCTGTGAATGAACAAGCACTGAGCCGCTCTCTCTCTCTCTGTCTGTCTATGTCTCTCTCTCTCTCGTGATTGGTTTAAATCACATCTTTCTTTATTAAATTATTATTATTATTCCCACTGTTTCAACATTGTTCCAGAGTTAAGACTAAATAAACTAAAAGAGTTTTTCTTTACATTGAACCTGTAAAAAAGAAAATTTGTAAAAATTGTTTATTTTATTTTATTTTTTATTTTTTACTCCACAGAAGAAGACCTACCAGTGCATCAAATGTCAAATGACGTTTGAAACAGAGAGAGAAATCCAGATCCACGTCGCCAATCACATGATCGGTGAGTCCACCGCAGCTCCTCACCTGTGTGTGTGTGTGTGTGTGTGAGAGAGAGTGTGTGTTTGTTCGGCCCTTCACTGTGATTATGAGATTTTTTTTATTTTGTTTCTAAATGTAAAAACTCAACGATGCTGCTGTTTGGACCTACCACACACACACACACACACACACACGTACGTAGTCAGGTGAAAATGATTGAACAGCAGCTGTAGTGCCATTGACTGGCCACTTGGCTGCAGCTTCAGCCGTGTGTGGACAGTGACTCAGGGTCAGTCAAAATGTTCTCAGACGGACGTTCTCTCTGACCAGATCTTCACGTCAGCTGTTGATCTACGTCCATCTGGTTTAATGGAGGTCGACTCAGTGTTGACTCAGTGTTGACTTAGCGTTGACTCAGTGTTGACTCAGTGTTGACTCAGTGTTGACCTAGCGTCGACTCAGCGTCGACTCATCGTCGACTCAGTGTTGACTCAGTGTTGTTGTGTTATAACTCGGCCGTTCTTCAGGTGGACCTGACTGACATCAGTTCAGTCTGACTCTAACTCCTTAGTTTAGCGTTGACTCAGCGTTGACTCAGTGTCGACTCAGCGTCGACTCAGTGTTGACT